AAATTCCCTTCGATTGCTTCATCGTGGATTGAGCAAAACCTGTGGGGGAAGTGGTGAAAGGGAAAATCTGCTTTTTTTTTTTTCGTCCTCCCACTGGGTGCAACTTTTCGCTTTATGAATATACCAGGAAGGGATGGGGGGGACTGAGGCAGGTTACCTGTCTTGCAATAAGACACAGCATTCTCAATCTCTCAGAGGCAGGACTTTTGTTTGCTTGTTTGTTTTTCCTTTCTAAAAAGGATTGAATAAAGACTGCAAGAAGTGAGATGTAGAGGAGAGGCTTCGTCCTCCCACTGGGTGCAACTTTTCGCTTTATGAATATACCAGGAAGGGATGGGGGGGACTGAGGCAGGTTACCTGTCTTGCAATAAGACACAGCATTCTCAATCTCTCAGAGGCAGGACTTTTGTTTGCTTGTTTGTTTTTCCTTTCTAAAAAGGATTGAATAAAGACTGCAAGAAGTGAGATGTAGAGGAGAGGCTGGGGGAATAAAAGCAAACTTAACTTACTAAAACTGATACTTCCTAATGTGGCAGAATCCTCAACCTCTTGTGAGACAGGGAAAGGGCTTCATTTAGTGCCAATGACTGAGGAGCTCTGTTAAAGTAATTGAAAAGTAGCACAGTTTTTGTGGTTAACCAATGTGGCTTTCTCTGCGTCTTGCCTCCTCATGTGGTAAAATCTGAGCCTCTGTCTGAGCAAGAAAGAGAATAAATGGTGAAGGGAGAACAAGAGTTCTCATTTAATTTAAAAGGCAAATGCTTTACTTTGGTTTTTTCCACCTGTGAGGAGAAGCATCTTGAGTGGTTGTGGACTTGATTGCTTAGTTCTTTCCCAGAAGTTGTTTGGGCCGATATATAACATGCTAATGCTCTGTTAGGAGCAGTATAGAGGCAGGTGTTCGGTGTGGCACGTTCCAGTTGTTCCCAGGCATGGGTGCTGTTGCATCTTTAAGAGTCTAGTGACATAAACTGCTGATTTATGAGCTCCCATATATGATAAATAACCATAGGGAGCGCATGTGTGTATGCATTTATATATGAATCATTGGCCACTTAGGTTTCCCCAGAGACCGTTACATGACTCGAACAGAAAGGACTGAAGCCTTTTACCAGTGGTCCTGATCCAGGGCCTTTGATTCCCTCTCTCAGGGGACATGACAGGTTCTGTCCCTGCAGTGGCTGCTTTTCTAGCTGTGTTTCTTCGTGGCGATAGTTGAGGCTTGGCCACCAAATGATCAAGTGGCACGACATGATGACAAATCAAACCTCGGTTCTATTACAGTAATAGCATTTGCTTTGCTAGATATTATGTGAGGGAGATGGCATTGCATATCATGTTATCCTGTATCTTGTGCATTAGTTATATCTACTAGAGACTAGATGTCTCTAACTCAGTGAAAATTTAAAGTTTATTTCCATTATATTCATTTTATTTACAGAGACAGGGTTTTTGTTACTTACCTAGGAGTGGGATTTTATGACCTGCCTTTGTGACGAAAGCTTCTTTCACGTGCTTTAGTGACGTTAAAAACAGTTTATTCTCCTTCTGCATCTATATTAGCATCTAAATATTATATTCGAATATTTCAATCTTGAAAATAGCTGTTTGATTCAGTGGGGTTTTAGTGATCATGATACAAAGGAGTCGTATACATCTTGCACAAACCCATATTTTCAACATAACTTGGGTGAATTGTGGAAGCTTCATTGGTTTGGATGAGTGTTGGCTTTTTACATGTATCTAAGGAATCAAAAGAAAGCAAAATATTACCATTTATGACCCTTAGGCATATTGGTAATTTCTAAATCTTGACCAATCATTTACTGTTTTTGCAGAGATTTTTTTTTCCTATTTTAACAAAATATTTCATATTCTGCTGAGCTTTAATAACGGAAACAAAAAAAGCTTGTCATGTATCTCATAGGAAATACTTGGTGTAGATTGTGTTTTCAAGCACACTTTTATATTTTGTCATAGTATAAAATAACTCACACAAAGAATTGCACTGTAATTTTTCTCCTTTTTTGTATTGTCACTAGTGTTCCACAATAGTTAAAATCGAAAAAGGCCTTTTTATTATAGGGAAG